GCTGCAGAATTACAATTCTGTATTGACACTATTCCTCATCACAACTGAATTTAGTCTTGAGACCAGGGTGAACAGGCTATAGTTCCATACCTTATAAAAATGTTTGTGTGTACAGGACATCCCCAAGATTTGTCATTTAATTTGGCAACAAACTGCTGAATGGTGAAGATATATTGTTCTTTTGCAAAAAAAAAAAAAAAAGTACAGCGTGCTAAGCTTTCAATAGGCTAAATAAGCCTTTTTAAAAACTAAACAAGCTCCCCTCCAGTTGAAAATTCCAGCTTAGTCCTGTATCATCCAGTAACGTCTTTCTCCTCACCTCCAAAGGTCAAAACAATACTACACATTAAAGTGTATCATTCATGACAAAAAAGATTTCCTGCTCTGGCTCTAGACTCAGTAACCTGATTCCTTGCTGCACACTGCCAATAATTCAAATTTTTCAGGGTATTGTTTATTTTGTCCAACTTATTATATTTAGTCAAGAATTACTTCCAAAATACTTCTTTTCCCTTAGTGTGCTCTTTGAGGTCAGAGCATTGTCTCTCCATCGTTAGAGATGTTAAACCAAATAATCTGATGGCCCTTAAATGCCTTACTCCAGACCACAGTGTGGTACTCTTAATCCATATCAACTTTCCTCTTCCTTATTGGTTATATCCAATTGTTTTGTGAATAAAAGATAGATTTATAAACACTTATTTCTTGTGGAAGGAGCAACAGGTCAGAAATGAAGAGATGTGGAAGAAATGTGGGCAGGGCAGAAATAAGGAGATGTCTCCCAAGCAGTTTCCCAAGCTAAGGATGCAATAAGAAATCAATGAACAACTTACTGCTTTTCATAATACTTCAAATCAAGTGCCATGGCAGCCATCTCAATCTGTGTAATATGGTCAACTCTGCTGAGGAGGAACATCAACTTCACATCTGTGATTTTAGCAGACATTGCCCATACACATCTAAGACTACCTTGCAGCCATGTAGACTAGAAAAAAAATATATAAAATCTGATATTCTAAAACAAGATTTATCCTGAATGGAACATTCTGCACTCCTGCAAAACTGTGGCATTCTCAAAACTATGATATGCTATGCTAAGTAAGTAGTTGACACCTTGTGACTATTGAGGATGATATGTCAAGTCTTCATACAAAGGTCCTTACCTAAGCAAATTTGCCAAAATATCTGGGTTTTAAGTACAGTAATACAACTTTTGTATGTCTTCATGAATGAGTGCTCCAAATTATTCCTAGAGTAGTCATGGAAAGAGTGAATAGTATAGCATCAAGCTGATGAGAACTCAATTAACAAACCAGTTGGTAAGACCATCGCAGGGTTGCTGTTCTAGGGACTATGTTCACTCTAAGGTGACAAATGGCACAAGTTACAGATTACAGTTACTCCCAGCAACTTCTATCAGAGGAAATATTTTGTGAGCTTGAGTCAGAAGGAAAACTGAAAGTTAATCTTAAATACCGTATTTCTATTAATATTTCTACCCTTAGCAGTGGCATACAACGCCACTTGGGATGTGTGTTAGTCAGCAACTCTCTACTTATTCATGTTCATAAGAAAAATCTTGTTTTTTTCATGTCTAACCCTCACACACTATATGAATGTGTCTTAACACAAACATCTTCCTGTGACTGTATCGATTTTTATTTACTTCTCATCCTGACATATATTAACCAGCTTAATAATAGTTGATAATGTTTACATCTATTGACTCTGAAGCTTTATTCCCTGTTTAGATAATACTTGGATTTTTAACAGAAAGGTTTTTCTGGAAACATTTTAAATGACAAGATATTTATTTGTAGATTATTTTACAAACAGAAAATTCCACTGACTCATTTTAACTGAGACAGGGCAACAAACCAAATGCATTTCCAAATCACAATCTAAATATCAAACATGAACCATGGGCTTGCATGTTACTGCTATCATCTTCTTCTGGCATGACTTATTTTAAGTTTCCTGTTTAGCAGCATTCCATACCAAAGCAATGATGCAATGAAATTCCATTAAAAATGCCATATCCTGGTCTGCCTAATAAATTCAAGTCTGTAAACTATAATTTAGAGGCAAAAGACTAACTGGGGAGAGCTGATTCAAGTGTAAAAGAAAGTTATAGGTAATGATAAATGATACATTCTCACACAAATGAGTGCTAGGTAGATTGTGTAAAACTAATTGTTTTTAAGCTTTAGTCCAAAGCATAGTTTAAAACACTGTGAGAGTTAAGTAAAAATGAACACAAAGGTTTAATTACAATTCTAAAAATAGATGAAATTTGTAATCATTTTTTGAAACAACCAATAATATATACTGTTCAAAGGCTATGTTTTCGTTTATATGCAGAATTTATATTTCTAAATATGAGAAAATCTGATTTAAAAAACAAATGTATAATGCTGTTCTGTAGTAATACTAGAATGTTTTTGGTAATACCAGAAATGTATTGTTTAAAATACAGTATCATCTATATATTATGCTTTCCCTATTTCCATAACCATATGTTCAAACTATCGTGGAAATGTGAGGTTCCAGTAGTAAATCAATGCTAATCAATACACTGCATAAATCTAAAATTCAAATAGAGAGTAACTGTAGGTTTTCTAGTCAGGACCTGAAAATACAATCTGCTAGTTGAGAACTTTTAAAATTATTTTTTGAGCTAAGATCACTACTTTAAATATTTGAACTTGATGATTGAGTGCTTTGTTCTTTCAAACATCATTCATCATTGTTTTTCTTGGGGATAGTTCTTTAATTTACATTCCAATGCCTGTATACTGTTTTAATCAGCTACTAAACTATTCCATTGCAGCAATATTAATTATGTAAGGTAAAGTAACTAGCATAAAAGCAAGTAATAAAAGAACAAATTGCTTTGGATCAACTTGTGGTTCATGATTTAAGGTTTGGAAAACTGCTCTCCAAAGTTAAATTAGAAACTAAAAAGAAGATTGTTTATATAAGATGCAATCTCTCCCCATTTATGCCATAATCAAGCCTACTCCTCCTTACTGCAAATCACCAAACCTTGTTAAATGAGAAGCACAAGAATTGGAATACTACATGGCTGTAGAACACATTGCAAGGTCTAAGAGATGCAACATGTCCTGGCCAGGAGTGACAGACAGATTGCACTTTCCATTGTGACAAGATAAAAGCCACAGGTTTCTTCTGTAGAAAGGCCAAGATCTAGGGCAGTGTTTTTCAAACTTGGCAACTTTAAGATGTGTGGACTTCAACTCCCAGAATTCACCAGCTAGCAAGAAAGTTTGTTAGAGAAGCAGTGTGTATAACCTTGAATGCTTCTTGTCTCATTTGTCCACCCATTAGCCCACAAAGAGAAGGCAGTATAAGAAATCCTATTTCATACAGAGAGATCAAACTGAGATTTTTTTCAGCCAAGCTAACAAAATCATAACTGATGTAGTAACTACCTATATGCACTATGTATCTGTATAAACTACAGTCAAATCAAAGCAGTCATTACAGTTAATAAATTCTACCAACCTAATCAGACACAAGGTCATCTTTGCTTTATTTTAAGCAAAGCTGTATCTTTCTTTAAAGCTACATTTTGGCAACAAAATCTAAATCAAGTTCCCATAATAGGTACCCCCTAGATGAATTTGACTACATTTCCCATCTAGTATCTGAAAGGAACTACATTGGAGAATACTGACTTACATGTTCAATTGAAAATGTAAAATTCATAAAAAGGCAATCAATACTTTTCAACGGAAAACATTCTGTTATAAATGAATATTTAAGGAAAATGGTTCCTGGCAAACTTCCAGCAAATTCCAGTTTTCAACTATGCAGAAGCCAGTCATGCACAATACTTAGGTTTTTCCTCCACTGTGCCCATGATTTCCCTGCCATCTGAACCATTCTGGCACAGCACACTGGAAATTAAAATATAGTTTGTTGAATTGGGTGGAAGAAGCCACTGGAGAGAAAATCAGGGGGAATCCCACCCCCCAACTCAGCTCATGTTATTGAAACAGTGGATGAAGAAACATATGTAACACATTGTAGGTCACTGCTTTGTAAAGCATACAATGTATAAATCAACCCTGCCATTGAGAAAAACAGCAACCATTCCCATTATTACTTGAGAGTATTAATCTCCCTTCTCAATTTTTGTTTAAGGAGCCAGAAAACTGTTTTTTCAATCAGAAGAACTAGGAACAAAATCAACATAAATTTGCTATTTGAACCAGAAAATGAAAGATACGTTTGTGAAACGTGTTCAACTGAATATAAGTCTATGATTTATTTATACTGTATTATCAAAGTTAAATCATCTTCATTAGTCATAGCTTAGTATTTGGCATGCTATCTTTTTTTTTTTAAATCACAATAATATCCTGCAAGAATTAGATGGCATCATTGTTTTGAATCTAGATTCAAGGATTCAGAACAGAGACATAAATATTTTCATTATCCAGAAGCACAGTCATAATCTGAAGTGGCACTGCTAACCTGTGTATGCTTGTTCATAAGTCATTTGCAAAGGATTCAATGTGACCTACACCATAATTAAGTTGGTTGAAATTACTATTAAAATTAAAATCAATGAGTATTACTTTCATGTTTACTAAAGTCCTATAGATTTCAGTGGAACTAAAGCATATTAGGATCCAACCAAAATATTTAGGACTGCCTAAATAATGCTTTAGAAAATATCAGTACAATAATCTCATTATGATATTACTGAGTGCTACGCTAGGTAACAAGTATGCATTATTACTTATAGCACTTCAACTGTTTCATGTCTCCCATCTAAAATTTTGGCAGCTACTACAGCTTTAAGTAAATCTTGAAAATAACTTGAGTTCATACTGTGCATAATGGAATTCAAAATATCTTGTCACCTGAACAGCAATGAAAATAAACTGTTTGGTCTTTGCACTAAATAAAGTTTATGAAATTATATTACTAAAAATATGAAATATTTCTCAACTTATTAATATGTGCCCTACCTGAGTTTTTCATGGGGCACAGGGCACACTGCATGCCCCATGCATCACCATATAAACAACAGCATTCAGTATAAGTAGTCTGCTTCCCAACAAGAGGTTGACTGCAAACAAAATCTTCATTCAGATGTTGCCAGCAAAGATCCTGGTAGACATCACTTTCTTCAGTTTGCTCTGAAACAAAAACCAAGAAACAGTGTTTATTATAACATCTCCCTCTGTAAAACAAAAATACAATACAAGATGTGTGGAATTAAATTGTAAAGATGTTTATTTTCTGCAAAAGCAGATGAGATCAATTTTTGAATTCAAATATATATTTTTAATTAACAAATAAGTCAACTGTATTACAAAGGGTTTATTACATTCATCTTATTGAGTGCTACTCTAGAATGATCTCTGATACTGGACAATTCTTTTTCAGGGACTACCTATTATTATTATGGTTGGTCGCACAGTCAGCCAGATGTTTAGGCTGGATTTTATCCACCTGTCAAGTCCTTCCCAAGGACCTGGGATAGGGAGATGTTGTTGTTTGATGGTGTTAAAGGTATTGTCACAGGATATAAGCTGTTCCAAGTAAAGCTGCCTTTTGCAATTGATTGATGGTGATCTTAATGCTTATTATTATTATTTTCAAAAAATTGATATTAGTGTAGGAAAAAACAATATCCAGAGCTCCTCCTAAGTGATCAGATCTTCTTAAATCACCCAATAACACAGATAGGATTTGCAATTCTAGGATTCTCATACTGCCACAATGAAAGGAACCCCATACATATATAACAATAAGACAAATGAGGAGACTTCTATAAAATGTGCTGAAGTCCAGTCAGGATGTTGTTTCTTCCCTGATTGTTTATCTGGTGCTGTTTCCTGCTTATCTGGGGAAGATGTGCTTTTGGTTGTTTGTTTCCTTCCACGACTTTGGTTATATCTTTTAAATGTTACGTAGATGGGCTTTACCTCTATGTATCTGCTGGTGGTTGATTTGTCAGGGTGCTAAGCTTCAGGGAATTCCCTAGTCTTTTTGGATTTGGCTTCATTGAAAATCTCAATATTTTCCCAGCTGAACTACCCAATTGATGATACCTAGTTTAGTAATGAAATGTCTGAGGAAAACAACCAAGCTCAGAGAACATCAAACCCCTGAGCTACTTATATTTTCTGCTGTATGTATTTTGTTGTGTGTGTGGAACAACCATATTGTGGGTCAGGAGTTTGGATAAATTGTTCTGGGCAGGTCAGGGTTCAGCCAAATTGGAACTTGGAACATCTTGGTTGTCTGGGATTTAGTCGAGACTGCTGTTTCTCAACCTCAGCAAGTTTAAGATGTGTGGACTTCAACTCCCAGAATTCCCTAGCCAGCATTCTGGGAGTTGAAGTCCACACATCTTAAACTCGCTGAGGTTGAGAAATAGCAGTCTAGATCAATTCTGGAGAGGTCTGGTGGAATAAGTAGGGCATCTTGCCTTCTTCTTCTGTATAGCCTGGGGGTTATATAATTTTCCCAGCACATTCTTTTGCCCAAACAGCCTGGTCCTCACCCCTTCCCTAAAACTTTCCGGTGCTTTATTTCTCTTTATCTTTCCTTAACAACACCATACTTGAATGTTAGGAGGGCATAAGCCAAACAGCTCACCTGCCCATGTTCCCAGCACATTCCTTTCCTTTCCTTCTATTTAGCCACCTCTCTGCACTGCTGCTGCTGCCTTTCTGTATCCCACTCCAGAACACCTGTTCCTGGAACTCACATATTCTGTGTCTGGGCCTGGATGTAATACATGTGTTCCAGGGCGGTGCCTGTATAGAACATACATTTTGGTTGGGCACGGACCACCTGAACCCGGCTGTTCTGTATACCGAATAGTTCTTGCAATGAATGTTTTGCACATCCGTAGTAATGATCTCTGAAGAAAAATCTGTGAAACATGCTTTTTCATTAGTTTTCCTATGTTTTGCAGATCTCCGCAATCCCAAGCTCCACTAAATAAAATGAGATACATATCAAAAAGGCTTAGCAATTATGAACCAAAAGTGTCTCAGAAAGAAGCAAATTGAATAATTTAAAAACAAGCCTACAACATTATTTTTGATTGCATATACTTTGGCCTTGAACCTGAACACAGCAATGCATGCAATAATGCATACCACTAGATTCCACTGGTCTGATGCACTGTTTTCCTGTAGCATCCAAAACCATTGGGTGTGTGCAAAAACAACTGTAAGAGCCTTCAGTATTGATGCACTGGCCATCAATACAGCTGTTGATGTCCTGACATTCATCTGTATCTGTTCAAATGCAAAAGAAAAGTACTTCAAAGGAAATCAATTCCTGAAAAATAGCTTGCATAGAACATTTGCAGTGGTCAGTTTCTGGACTGTGTTTTTCATCAGCAGATATTTACATCAAGGTGATCGTACATGTTTAACATATTCCCAGGAACTGTTACCAATAGAGGCAAATATGTGTAGCTCAGGGTTGAACTGTGGGGTCCCTTGGGTTTTCCTTACCTTTCGGTTTTTTTTTCGCATTTTAATCAATACCCACATTGTGTTTAAAAAA